GCTTTTCGAGAATAACATGTGTACACGCTTCAGATCTGGCTTCGAATCCTCGCGAAAGTACAATAATTGCACGTATTTTGTTACATGTAGCTTGCAAATAATTGAACAAAGTTTAATTACAAGCAAATAAGGTGAAGTAATGTGTCTAATACAAAAAGTTTTATTTTACAGTACATAGAGACGGAAGGCTTCCAACTCAATCACATCAAGATCAAGCCATTACGCGAATACCTATTATATACAATAAAATACTTTACTTACTTTTCATATTGTACGTAATTTTCCAATTTCTCGTAAATTAAATAATCTCTTTTTCAACGTATTTAAATCGAACGAAAGAATTTTTACCTCCAAATTATATCTTATAAATTAGAAAAAAAAGTTGTTAACCTAATTAAATGCGCTTTATTAACGTTCGGTTTTTCTTTAATTTGATTACAGTCGAACCTCGATAACTCAAATCAAGGAAACAGAAAAACACTTTGAATTATAGAGTTTTCGAAATTCGAGTAAAAGAGGGTTAACATATGAAAATTCGACTTACGGAGACTTTGTACGAGAGTTTATAATTTTTCGATTATAATGGCTTTCAAAAGGAAAAAAATCAATGACAGTGAATTATTTATTGCATAAATATAATAAATGTAATCATAAAACAAAATATCAGGCTATTACTCATAGTTACACATAGCTACAACTTCGAATTATAGAGGCAACAATAAATTCGATTTATAGAGGTGAACTTTGACTTGTAGAGGTTTGGCTACTTTAAATTCGAGTTGCAGAGGTAAAATTACATCTAAATATACCTGACAAATAATTCGAAGTAAGATAGATTTTATTTCGATTTATAGAGGTTTTCGCAACGGAGCGGAAGGGAATGAATAAAATTTTCGTCTTATAGAGATTTTCGAGCTGTAGAGGTTCGGATTATCGAGATTCGACTGTATAAAATATATGTTTTTAAACATACATCAACAATATTAACATGATATTTTTGTGAATTAAATACAAGTCTTTTGTTAAATTAAAAAATAATTGTTTGACAGTGTATAGTAAAATTAAGAAATATATTTTTTTTATTTTACATTTTTTTGCTCTCATTGTCAGTGTAGAAACGATCTCCTTCGCGCCGGACGTTTCTTTCAAATTTCGCGATAACTACGTCAAATCTCCCTTCCTGTTATCCGGTTCTTTATCATTCGATTCGGACGCTTTTCACGACACCCATCATTATGCAACGGTAGGGTAGCAGAGGGTGGGCGCGAAAGGGATCGTCGCGAGGCCTCGCCAAAGGGCCCACCTGTTGCAATTTCCACCCTTGAACACCCTCTCTCTGATCAGCATACCCGGCGTTCCATCGAATTTCCACAGCGAGAGAATACAACCTAGCTGTTCTACGCTCAGAACATCGCTTCGCTTCGTGTTTATTAGGGGCAGGAAAGAGAGTGAGAGAAAGAGAGACCGTGGTGCCGCGCGGCTATATTGATTCTCGATATACGGCCACGCGTAACAAGTGTATACGTGTGAGCGACGAATAAACGCAACAGAAGAAATTTCTGCGCGGAGAAAGCAGGAGGCAAAAATAACTCCGTTCAGCAGAGAGGGGAACTATATATCGTTGTAACGCACGTCGTGCGTAACGAAAGTTTTTCCGAGCGAGCCTCGACTGGTGGCCATCAATTATTCAAGTTCGATTGTCTTGAGTCTTGATTCTGCGCAACATTGTGCGACCGGGGAAGGACAAGGCAGGAGAAAGAGGGGGGGGAGACCGGTAGGTTGAAGAAAATGAAGGGAAACGAATGCCGGTGCGCGCTAGCTGATACCGGGGGAGAAAAATTGGTGCTCGGTATATGGCAGAAGCGTACTCGCGAATGGGAATTTCGTGCTTTAATACCACGTCATTTTTGTAATAGGTCGCCAGTAAGGAAAAGGGGTATTGCGCGGATGATATTGCACGTGCTTCTGAGAAATCCGCTACTGCGGATAATTAATTTACAATGCGTCTCCGTATACTTTGGATACCGCGCGTAATAACGCTCCGAAGGAATCGATTCGTTTCCACGAAAATTATGAGGTGTTGTACTTTTGTATCATCGTTTTATTAATGCCATGAAACGATGTGTATCCCAACTGTCTTTCCAAAACTTATGTTAATTTCTTATATATATGGTAATTAGAAATACATTATATTTATGTATATATATATATATATATATATATATATATATATATATACAGAGTAACAATTTTATCTTAATCATGTGCATAATAAAATAATTCTAACATAATACAACAAAATATAATATTGAAGTAATATGTAAAGAACAATTAATTTTTAATTATTGATTTATTTGCTACCAAATTAAAGTAAAGGTCTTTTAATTCCGAATAATTTATTATATTTAAATAATTATTGTATTATCCATCAAATGACACAAGATCTGTCTGCATTTGTGCTTTGCATGTTAGCTTTATCCATCGTCAATTGTTCCTTATTTACTAACAACAATGCTGTACATTTTATTGATATCATTAAATAATGAAGTATAAGATGTTAACTTAGGTGTATCTTTAAAAATTCAACAAGAATTGAACCATAGCATTTACAAGAGATAGTAAATAGTATTAGACTTAATGGAAAAAATCAACATCATTCTCAGTTAAGATTAAATATGTTTCGTATGTCTAATCCGCCTAGGAGTCTATAAATTACAGGTCATTTCCATTATTTCAATTAAAATTAAAAAATTTTAAATAGTATTGAAATTGAATGAAATCATTTATAAAGTATTCTTCATGATTATTTACAGCTATTAGATACAGCTATTAGATTGATTATTTGGTACCTTTCTGGGATAAAAATATAAATTTTTATCCATAATGTGATCCACAACTTATCTTAAACATTTGTTATCATAGAAATAATTTGACGATACTCGAATGCCTAACTTGGAATACCGATTCGATAGAATATTAGTATATAATTGTGAGTAAAAATTTGAAAAAAAGAATATTTTTCTTATTTTTTCATTTTAAGTATTTTTTGCGCGGATAAGAAGATGCCTTATAATTGTACAGTTCTTCATTGCAAATGCGAAAATAAAATTTAATTTACAACGGTACATATTTATTTCGGTAAGTATTTCAAATCTACAGTTTGGCCCTGTGTGCGTGTGTATGTATGTGTGTGTGTCTGTGTGTGTGCAGGTTTGGTTGTTATCTCTTTTTTTAAAAATTATTTCAATTTACACATCTTCGGAGATTTAGATATATAGGTGTTCTATAAAAATCTGTTAAGTTTTCCAGCGTAAAATCTATCACGATAGAATAATCCTGGTTAATTATTAGGAATATTTTATTGTACAGTAGGCATAAAAGTGAAATACCTAGAGGGATTACAATGCTGCTTAATCACAAGATGGGGTTAATAATTATATTTCAGCCAATCATGATGCAGCGATCTGACTAATTCCCTCATTGGCAATCCATAGTCTAACTAATATTAGGTTTATACAAAATTGCTGCTTTTTCTTCTTCTTCTTTATATTATAAAGAAGAAACCGAATCGTCAAACTAGACTTCTTATAAGATCGCAATTGTGTTAGTATGTTCTATGATCATGAAGGAAATACCTGAGGGGAACCACAAAGTACCACTGTAGACGCGAGGCGTAAAGTCTAAAGAGGGAGAGGAACAATCACGTTCACCATGCAAGGTACTTTAGGTTTAGCGTCTGTTTTTCATGTCGCGACGTCAACCAAGACATTACAACCACAGTTGCTATACCTCTCCGGTTTTCGCCCGGCACACGAAAAAAATCTCCGGGCGAATGATGATCCTTCTTTGTGGGAAAGCACGATGATTTTTCTTAAGCTCAATGAAAAAATCCCCGAAAAAAGAGTCAATTTTGATGAGAACTTTTTTTTAGAGAACGTTTCTTCTGGCAAAGGATTTTCAATAGCATGGTCAAAATTGATGGCCTTCCGGCACAATACTCCTTAGAAGGTGGCAATCGTGATTACAAAACATTCACATTCTGTGAAATTATTCGCCGTCACCATCTTGGTCCTTTTTCCGTCACAACAGACATTTCATACCTGTCACCTTTTGTGACTAATGTTATACTAATGTAAACAGCATTGTAATCCTTCTAGGTATTTCCCACTTTCATACCTACGATACAATAAAATTCTAATTGTTTGTGTAATAATGAAAACCCGCAGAGCAATAGCCTTAGAATAACATTATGCTGTTTCAAGGAGGTCTTGAAATAGTAAAGAATGTTGTCGATTCGGTTGGAACGAAATTGTTTACGGCTTTTTCTTTAGAACTTTTAGGCCAGGTCTAAGAAGTCAATAATCGTAAGCGCAGTTGTAAATCTGAAGTCGTAGAAAATTGATCAAACACGGTCGAACATGAAAAGAATAATCGATTGTAACCGATCAATTTCTAATGACTTAAGACTTACGACTGCTTACGGCTCTTTTTGTTGTTGACCCGTTTGTTGTTGACCCGGTCTTACCACAGTATATTACAGGAAGTCCACTTCGTATCGGCACCTTTGATCGATTCTCGTTGAGATCACGTCAGCATCCACGATGTTAACGTTTAAAAAATCCAGGACCGAACAGAGAAAGTAGTGCCTCATAAGTAATAAAACGGATAAGTAAATAATATAGATTCGATACAGTGAAGCAATAAATTCAATATGTAAATCGAATAAAATATATGGATTGGATGAATTAATAAATATTGTTATTAATTAATAATTATTTTTTATTAAATAACTAAATATTACACATAAATTACATTAATTTACGTTAATTACATTAATAATTATTTTTTATTAAATAACTAAATATTACACATAATAAAGTTAAATTAACTTAATAAGTAATAACGCTATTAAATTATTCAAAAGATATTAGCCACAAAAGAGTTCTTGCAAACTTTTTCATTAAGAGAAAATATATCTCGTCAATAAAATTCCAAAAGCAAACTATGAAATTTTCTATAATTAATATAATTTTAATAATTACAGTTGTAACATGTGCAATGCATGCGAGATACATATATTGTGAATTTCTTTACATATTCGTAAAATGATACTTTAGTAGGTACATGTGTGAGGAATTATCGTTTCGCGCATTCTTCAACAGGCGATTTGAAATTGCCAAGTTTTGTTTCCCCGTGCCTTGTTAAGCTGTTAATCACACTTCCGCCTAGCGAGCTACGGAAATTGAGACGTCAGACGGATGAGAATCGAGCGTCATCCGATTCATCATTCGAGGGGGATAGCGCCGCTGTCGGATGGGATAGCATCGCATTTAAGCTCCTGTGAGTCGATTCAATTCCAATCGCCGTATCGCGTTCATTCTCTATGACCGCCAATAATTTATCGAATTCCTGAGGAACGATTCCAATAACCGTCGCGATTACGACGCGGCGACAAGCCATTTGGCTTGCGAGCGTTGGATCCCAACGCGCGGTGGATTTATAGTTTTCGATTAAAGAATCCAACGGCCGACCTCGGACGCAATTATTTTTTTATTTCATTGACACGTGGAAGCCTGAGAGGCAGATGTCCGAGTGACTTGCCTCGCGCGTCATCACAAGTGAGCGGCCTGCAACTACCTATATAATATTACATATACATCCAGGGTTGGATAGTGCCTAGTTAAAAAGATAAAAGTTAAATAATTTTAACTCAACTTAGTTACATTTTAAACTCTTAACTTTTAACTTAATTTAGTTACATTTTATCGGTAACTGTTAACTTTTGACCTAATTTTCTTTACAGTTACAGCAGTTACATTTTTAGCGCTTCTTGTAAATCCAAAATAAAATATATATCCGCGTTGATGTCTTCAAACTCAAATTTAAGAACACACATCAAGGCAATTGTTATAATATAATTAAGAATATAGTTTGGCCACTTTTGGGAAAAAACTGTTCGCGCACCTTCTATGCATTAAATCATGTTGGAAGAAGTCCTTCGAAATCGATTGTCTTTCCGCGGCTTGACAGAAATAAGTATAAGTATATAAGTAAGACAGAAGTAAATAGACACTTTATTTAGAAACTTTATTTAGAATTTTAGAAACCCTAAAATTATAAAATAAAAAAATTTAACTTTTAGCTGTTCAGTTACTTTTTTTTATTAACTTAAACTTTTAATTCAAATAATTTTATTATGGATTAACTTGTATCTTAACTAAGTTAAATTTTTAAGACTGCTAACTTTAACTTCATTAAAAAAAATATTTGCTTTAACTTAAGTTAAAAAATATATTAACTTACCCAATTCTGTATATATCGTAATAAAAATCGCAATATAAATCTTTATTATTTAATTACATTGTAATGTTACATACAAACATACTGTGAGAAATACAAAAACACATAGAGACGTGTTAAAAGAAAAACAATTCAATTACTGTAATTTAACTGTACTTTACTGTCAATTTTAAACTAGACATATATATTTACAGTTATTTTTTTTATTTATGCAAATTATGACTTCAACATTGCATTACGACATTTACAACTATCTCTCAGCTATGATATGCAAGTATAAAACGATTGATTTTTTATTTTCTCTTTTACATATTTTTAATTTATTATTACCATGTAAATAGTAGATAAGCGAATGTTAAGAAAACTTTACGATAATCGCAATTGCGTTCTATTATATAAAAATGTTTATTTTATTTATTACTTATATCTTGATGTTTTCACTATATTAATTTAAAATTATCATAATTTATAGTACAATTGTCGGGAATATAAATATAAGATTATTATTACTAACGTTAGTCAAAATAACTCAATCAACATCAAAATTGAGCTTCCAACTGTAATTATTTTACCATGCAAGTCACAAGTACCAAACACTTTTCTCTCAATGTTTATATAATATAAATATCATATATTTAATAAAATACTTCTGTTTCTATACTCCTATATCTTCTTTCCTTGTATTTTCATGTTTCTACCTTTCTGTATTGATTGTAAAATTATATAGATACTCGATCGACCTAATACTCTTTTCTTAGCGGAGCCCTTTATATGTACAAGCGAGCAAATAGGAAATGACAGCGCGTGTTACCTAATTCTTTCTCCATTCTTCGATCCGTAAGAATTTTTCGTGCGTGTCCCTCTGTCTCGTCCAATCTACGCTGACCGTCAGGACCTGACGTCTTACCAGCGTGGTTGTAAGCACCCCTATCGTGCTCTCTCTCTCTCTCCTCCCGCTTCCCCTCCCCTAAATTCAAGCTAAAGCGCCCGTATCAATAACGTTTATTCCATTTCGTAGCGTGACTAGAGATTTTGTGCGATGCAAGGCACCCTTTCGAGAGAGACCGGCTGTTTGTCTTGAGGACGAGAACATCGCCCCATAGCGCGGCAAAGTGCGGTGTAATGGTGTCCCGCCGCAGGCATACTTAGCTAATTAAACTGTATCGTGGATATTCGTTTCGGGGGATTAAGTTACGGACCGGGGCACGCGACCGTCTCGCAGCTGCGAGGAGGCTCATCGCCGTCGGATAGGAAGAGCCGAAGAATTCCTCGTCCAGCAGATCCGGTATCTGTGTTACGTTGTAATTTTAATTTCTCACATTGTTCTTTGCAAATTAAATTAAAATTGTATCAATGATAAGAAATCAATAAAAACTTGACTAATTAACTTTTATCGGTGATATCTTTCGTTTCGTGTATCTATACCGAGATAAAAGTGTTTAGTATTTATAACTATGTGATAAAATAATTATAATTTATAGACGCTCCATTTTTATAGTCATTATTGCTATAATTATATTACGTTATTATATAATAACGTATTATATAATATTAGCAATAATTATACATATATTTATAGTTTTATTAAAACAAATATATATTTGGCATAAAAAATGACAACATATTATAATTAATATAAATTATGACCGCAATAATTTTTTTTCTGTAAATATATTTGTAACTATAACTATGTGGTAAAATAATTATAATTAGAGAAGCTCCATTTTTATGGTCATTACTGCTATAATTATATTACGTTATTATAATATTAGTATATTAATAATGATACAATATACTTATAGTTTTATTAAAATAAATATATATTTAGCATTAAAAATTACTACACATTACGGTTAAATTATGACTGCAATAATTCTTTTTCTCTAAATAAATATATTCTTGTGTTATTAATAAACTGATATATTTTGTAAACTCCTCGAAAAAGATTTAAATTATGAAGGGCAACCCCGATAAATCTGCCTATTGAAAATTTCTCCACCTAAGCACGTGACTCGAAAGCTAACAAAACGTTCAATAGCATGCAGTAGAGAAAAAAAGATGGATAATAGATAATAGATATAGGTACACGTTTGGTACGTAATAGCATTTGCGGGTCACATCTGTCGATGCGATGCGTTACACGTGCCAGAGATAAGGTCTATGGATTGTTCTGATCGATTATGCGCGTTCAATGCATCCGCACGCCCTTCAATATTAATATCGCACGTTCTTTAACGTTCGACTGGACAATTTGCTATCATAGGGATTTTTTTAAATATCCCACAAAACGTATTGATAAAACGCTTATCAAATGTAAACGCTTATTATAAACGCTTATCAAATGTACCTATTAAATAGTTTACTATTACATTTATTATTAAATAGTTTACTTATTTAATTACTTACCTAACAGTAAATCAGTAAAATTTCAATATTTTTATTTTCTAGCACATTTATTGTGCGATAAACACAGCAATACGCTAAATAATAAACATAAATGTGTATATCAATCACGTTAAATAATTTGTTAATATAACAATAATTATTTTCTCCTGTCAAATGACGAATAAAATCAATCTTCCTGAGGCTGGAAGGTTACGAAGGTTACAAGATGTCCAACGACATATGTCTCGAGCATTACGAGAATGCATTTATCCGAAGCATAGGTTAATTATAGGTCTAGCCACGTAATGGCCTCATTTATCAAAGCCACACTAACCTAAATTGGCCGAGGTCTATACACGCATACAGCCACAAGAAGCAGATCCGACAGAGGCTGCTCTCATCTTCGATTTTCGACGTTGGTTTCGGTACCTCAAATTTGCAGTTCCAAATCGTCCGTAATTTTGTGTGTATGTGTATACATATACATATATTTTTAACACCGATTTAATTAATTCTTCGATAACTTCAGACGGCGATCTTAATTTCAAATCCAGGACACTATAACTTAGAAAAGGAACGTTACGTGTTCTCCGACTAATTGTAAGATTTAATGTAATTGATTATATTTTTAAAAATTTGTATTAGCGGCTAAAAGAAGGCTTAGTAAAGTCAAAACGTTCCACTGTAATTTTATCGAATAAAATTATATAATTTTACTGCAACATCTTGTTTGCACGCTTCATTGGCCTTTATATCCTCTAATTTCTATTTTATTGTAAAATACGAATATACAATTTTAATTTAATTAATTCTAATATTTATTTTAATATAATTTAGTAACTTAATCAATTCTAGAAGTTTACTAGAAGTTTGCTAGAAGAATTCTAGAAGTTTTGCTAGAAGTAAAGCCCTAAAATATCGCGCTTGACGAAAATAAATTCTTCGAATAAAAAAGATTATTCCATCGAGTGTTTGATATAAATATTGCACGTTAACGAATTCCGAAAGTTCGAGCGAGAAGGCTGAGTCGCTGATAATATTATTATCGCAACCTTGGGTCAGATAGGGGTTCGGCATTGCGGAACCTTGGATCGCTACAAATCGACTGTGAATGCCAATGTTAAGCCCGCATATATTCCATCGGTGTCGCGCGGCGGCCTTCAGTCAGGCAAATCGAAACTCCCCGATGAATGACGATGCAAGAATGAAGACACAGGTGCGAATGTATATCAGCACGAGCAGGATAAGTATAATTTATCACGAGCGCTGCGTTTTCACCAAACAACGATTTCACAACACCGGACCGCGATTACATTACTGCCATTATTATTACATACAGTCGAATCTCGATAACTTTTAAGAGAAGAGAAAAATCCTTTAAGTTATAGAGTTTTCGACTTATTGAAATTCGAGTAAAAGAGGGTTAACATATGAAAATTCGACTTACGGAGGCTTTGTACGAAAGTTTATAATTTTCTGATTATAATGGTTTTTAAGGGGAAAAAAATCAATATTTAACAGTGAATTATTTCTTGCATATATACATATAATAAATGTAATCATAAAACAAAATACCAGGCTATTACTCATGCAGATTACACATAGCTACAACTTTGAATTATAGAGGCAGCGACAATAGAAATTCGACTTATAGAGGCCTAGCTACTTTAAATTCGAGTTGCAGAGGTAAAATAATCCATTTAAATATCTGACAAATAATTTGAATTAAGGTAGGTTTTATTTCAATTTACCTACAAAGATTTTCCGTAGTGGAGCGGGAAAGGGAATGAACAAAATTTTCGTCTTATAGGGATTCTCGAGTTGTAGAGGCTCGAGTTATTGAGGTTCGACTGCACTGCTATTATTTTACTTTATCGTTGCGTGTCTACGAGGAAACGGAGGAGGAAAAACGGGAAAATTTGTAATTAAAAATATTTCGTAGATTTGACACTACGATGTAATATAAAAGTGCGACTCTCGCGAGCGTAGGCAATTTAAAGCAGACGCGAACAATAGTCGCTTCGCGACCCGTATTAAATTAAACAGAGTTATTCTTTATTGCCTCTTTGAAACTAAACGATCAATTTAACGTCCGGGAAAGGAGAGGAGAGGGAATCCCCAGTGTCTATATATGATACCGTTTATACGATTCGATTCCGGTATCGTGGCTATTAGTACTTCATCGACGAGGCACTTCCCCGATACGATAGAAACATCCCAGACGCGATCGTATCGCTCTGCGAAATTCCGGCCCGTGAATTTCATTATGGCTATTGAATCGAGGGACGCTCCATTTGCCACGCGGGGAGATTTAGGTGTCTTTCTCCGGTTTCTCTATACTGCGATGGAGCAGACGCGCTCGTAGAAATCCCGATATATATGTATACGTGCCACGCGACCGTAGTCCACGAATTATAGAATTCCCTCGTTCCGCATCGAATTCACTCGTCCCCTTTCCCCTCCTCTTCTCCCCGCGAAACGCCATTGATCTCTCGCAGGGAACTCACCCTTCGCTCCTAGAGGGTGACAATAAACTATCGTTTGTGCCCCTGTGCAGCATGCCACTGCATTTCGCACGACGCACCGATAAATACTTTCGGCAATTTAATGTGTGTTAACTACTTTGAGGATGAAAACGAAGATTCGTGATTCTTTTGTATTAACGATTGTAATTATATGTATCTGTTTATATAACAAATACATTGATTATATCATCCCTGGTATTATTATATCATCATATTTTGCATCATCATATTATGCATCATATTTTTACTATTTATTGAGAGATTTACTATTTTTAAGGATTTGGTTTTACATAATATATTGTAATTCATATAATCTATCATTGCTGTAATTACTCGGTTGAGATATGTAAGGAATAATAGAAAAACGTAAGCAGTAAGCAAATCAACATACAATGAGACTTAAGACTTAAGATTTAAGAAAATTGACCAATCATAGTCGATTATTTATTTCACTTGAAAAGAATAACCGATTGTGATTGGTCAATTTTTTAAAACATTAAGCCTTAAGTTTCATTGTAGACCGCTTTATTATTTGCTACTGTTAATGTAATTAATTTACATACACTATTTCATTATTGTGATTGACCGACAATTCGTTTACTGTTTTCTATATGTCACTATAACTTAAAGAAAATAGTGTCTACAAAATGAATGCATTTGTTGTCATAAAGCGTCATTTGCAATATTCATAAAAAAGTATAAATCTGCTAGCAGTAGAGGCGACAGCAATTAATGGAAACGCAAGTGTTTTCTGCTTCTATTAAAAAATTTTATTTTATAACATTATTATTTAGATCAAGGTACTAGTAGCCGCCAATAGTAACTTAACAAAATATTTAAAAAACTTATCGTTTTATTTCACAAAAATAAATAAATATTTGATAAATACTACTATGTGATTATTAATTAAGACCGTCCGAACAAAAGAGAAACTCTTACTTGAAATATGTAAAAATAAAAATGATTGTCATTTTCGGCCTCAAGATTTATTACTAAAAATATTACTAAAAATACACACACAATTGCTTAAATATATACGTATAAATACTTATTGTATGGTTCTGAGAAACTAGATAAATTATAATGTAATATATTGTTCATATTTAATATATAAATTAAAAATATTTGTGTACAAAATTATAATGCATATAAAAGATGAAGAAGAAATTTCATTTCTGTTAAAAATATATTTTATAAAAATAGTTAATAATAATTAAAATACTTAATCAAAATAAAATTATCTCCAAAAGTTTAATATTACATATACCTATACTTAATTTATGTCAACTGTCGCTATCCACCGGGAGAATTACAAAAAAACAATGAATTGAATTGCGATGTATTAGACGAACACTCCGCATGGGCAGACAAGTAAAACGAGTATTTTTTCCCGTCGGACGAGTTTGCGTAGGGAAAAATGCGGCCGGCATAAATCTACGCGTGCACCCTGCGCGCGGCAGCAAACAGCATGCCTTATGTCTCATACCTCGGCGTGCCCGACGGTCCGTGAATTCACGGAGGGCTTTGCGGCCCCGCCGCAGCGTGCCAGATCGTAGCAGCGTTTCGCACCCTTTGCTACAAAATCACGGCGCGTGCCGCGCATATCTACCCCGTCCCCGGGCTCACTCGCGTCCTACCCCTCGCTCATTATGCCCCCGAAGTAAATCACTTTTCCTTCCGCGGGAGCGATATAAACTATCCCTCGAGTACGCCAAACGGCACTTTCGCCTTTTATGACGCACGCACTTCACGCAGCCCCGCAAAGTCAAACGGTGCTATATATTTAAGGGGATACGAAAAAATTCACGCATATTTCCTTCCCAACAAACACAGATTATAGGGGAGAGTTGCCGAATGCGTACCACTTAAGATATTTTTGGTTATATTTCATATTTGGTACTATTTAGAATGCAAACGAACGTTGGAAATTGTAGCTTGATGTTCACGGCATCTAATATTACATGTTAAATCTTTCACTGATAGCAAATTAATTTGTTCTAAGCTTTTTTGTAACATGCTGTCAAAAGCACGATTCAGCAAACCGGTTGTCTAAATCGTACCTGTGAGTTTTATTAATAGTACCTCCTTCTAAACTATTGAATTTATGAATGAAAATAATTAAAAACATAAGATTAATAAAAGAATCATGAATTAATACCTACTTTAATTGTAATTTATCAAACAATATAGCTGTTTTGCTTACGCAACTCGATGACGGTTTTTTCCTCTACAGACTTGCTACAGAACAACTTCGATCGTGTTAAAATAAATAATGTTGATTATGTCATGTGATCTAAAGATAAAGATACATTAGTGTTCCTAAATTGTACGATACGATATAAGAATTCTTATGCTGGTTAGATTAGGTACGTTTTAGGAAACTTTACTGAAAAGATAAAAATATTGATATAATTTTTTAAATAATTGTAAATACGTATATACAATGAATGTAAAATATGCTATCACAAACTTTCTTTTAAGAAAAAATAATGATTCACTTAAAAATTGCATAGTTACATTAGTATCAGCTACATAAATTGATCAAAAATTTACATCAATTAAATCTGATTTTTTTTATGTTGGTAGCATGCACAAAACAAGATGTAATCTGTTCATTTTTTGTCTATCTTACACATTTCTTATTTACTTCATATTTTTGTTACTAAATGTTGCTTCTATTAAGTGGAACTATAAAATATTGAAGAAGTACGCTTTATGAGACCGGTACGCATTTGGCAACTCTCCCCTAACTACAATACTGCAGCAACAACGTA